AATAATGAATATTAATATTATTAAACCTTTATGCTATTTATAACATTAAATTATTAAATTTAATATTAATAAATTTAATATTAGCTAATATTAAATTAACAATGAGAAAACAGATGCTTAAGCATCCAAAAAGGAATACAAAGGTTAGAGGCTTCGATAAGGAGAACAGCATTTTGGAGGTTTTTAGACTTATAGGAAAGAAGTAAGAAAGAAAGGACCTACTGCAGGCAGTCTTAAGCTGAAGGGGGAATTTAAGACTATAAATCTAACAATCTGTGGGAAATAGAGCCGAGGAATAAAAAGAGAGTGGCTTGCTTGAAAGCTGTGCTTATATAATGCCCCTAGGATTCAAGTGGATAAATGGTGAAAGAATTGATGCTGCTGGAGCGACATCTCCACCAGAAGCGTGACCCAAAACTGCTGTGAATGTACAGGTAGTCCTCAACTTACATCCCTTCATTTAGTGACCATTCAAATTTAAAACGGCAACACTGCGGAAAAAAATGACTAATGACCCCATTCTTCACATTTAGAATGAACTCTGGTGGCGCAGTGGTTAGAGTGCAGTACTGCAGGCTACTTCTGCTGACTGCCGGCTGACTGCAATTTGGCAGATCGCGTCCCACCAGGCTCAAGGTTGACTCAGCTTTCCATCCTTGCAAGGTGGATAAAATGAGGACCCCGATTGTTGGGGGCAAGATGCTGACTCTGTAAACTGCTTAGAGAGGGCCGTGAAGCACTGTAAAGTGGTATATAAGTCTATGTGCTATTGCTACGACCATTGCAACATCCCCATGGTCATGTGATCAAAATTTGGAGGCTTGGCAGCTGGCTCATAGTTATGACAGTTGCAGGGTCCCACAATCTCCTTTTGTGACCTTCCGATAAACAAAGACAATGGGGAAACCAGATGGTTACTCACTTCACAACTGCAGTGATTCACTTAACAACGGTGGCAAGGATTGTCGTAAAATTGGGCAAAGCTCACTTAACAACTGTCTCGCTTCGCAACAAACCAAACTTTGAGCTTGGTTTATAAATCGAGGACTACTTGCATGTGAAATCCCTCCCCTCCCCCACAAAAGTAGTCTCTGGTTTCATTTGGCTCTGATTCCACCCTCATATACGGGTAGATAGCAATAGCACTTAGACTTATAAACTGCTTTACAGTGCTTTACAGCCTTCGCTAAGTGGTTTGCAGAGTCAGCCTATTGCCCCCAACAATCTGGGTCCCCATTTTACCTACCTCAGAAGGATGGAAGGCTGAGTCAACCTTGAGCCTGGTGAGATTCGATCTGCCAAATTGCAGGTAGCCAGCAGTCAGCAGGAGTAGCTTGTAGTACTGCACTCTAACCACTGCGCCACCAAGGCTCTTTAGATGTTGACTTAGGACCACAAATGGAGCCAAAATTTCCATTGCTAAGCAAGGCAGTTTTTAAATGAGTTGTGCTTCCTTTTGTCACTTTTTTTGCCATGGTTGTTAAATGAATTATTGCAGAAGTTAAGTAAAACACGCAATTTTTTAAGCAAACCCGGCTATCCCCGTTGACTTCGCTTGTCAGAAACCAGATGGGAAGGTCACTGAAAAGGATCACATGACCTCAGGATGCTGCAAACTTTTGTAAATACCTGTTGGTTGCCAAGTGCCTGAACTTGGATCCTGGGGATGCTGCAACAGTTGTTAGTGCTAGGACCAGTCATATAAGCCAATTTTTCAGTGGTGTTATCACTTCAGATTGTCACCAAATGAATGTTTGTAAATTGAGGATTATCTGCAATGTGTTCTCTGCCGTTGTGGAGGAAAATCCAGGGAGAGAGAATCTGAACTGCACTGTCTTCGGCAAAAGAAAGTTGAAAGGAAGAAAGTAAAACAGCTGTCAGTCAAACCAATATGAGGTGTGTTACCTAGAGACCTGCAAAAAAGACTTTTGATGTAGCGGACTCTGAGACTGACCTTGAGAGACAGGAAGAAGAGCTGAAGACCAGATAATGATTAGATAAGAGAACTCTGAGTCCAAAACATGAAGGAAGCATCTCAGAAGGGACCCTCTTTAGTTTTCTGGAACTTAAAGTGTGAGAGCTTAAACCTTATGAGCCGCAGTGGTGCAGTGGTTAGAATGCAGTACTGCAGTCTACTTCTGCTGCCTGCCAGCTGCCTGCAATTTGGCAGTTCAAATCTCACCAAGTGTTGTGGCCCGTCAGCCGCCAGCAGAGCTGTCAGCAGACTCAGAGGATGAGGAGGTTGGAGAGAAACTTGGGCCAGTTCTGGAGTCTTGAGAAGGCTCTGATGGATGCTCTGCGTCAGAAGCAGAGATAGGGCCAGGGCCGTCCAACATTTCCAAGCTGCCTTCAGAGTCAGATAAATGGGGAAGAAGAACAGCTGGGGCCTGTTCCAGATGCGCATATGTGCAGAGCTGTCAGGAGACAACAACTGAGGAATAGGGGGTGACTTGGGAAGAAAGACACACGTGGACACTAAATGGGGAATAAATAGAAGCAAAAGGGGACTGAGTGGTGGTTGCAGGAGACAATAGTTCATTTTTGTGGGGGGGGGGGTGATTTGCTTATCGTGGTTCGTGCCTCAGAGACTTTTTTCCCAGGAATTAATTTACAGCTTTGCGACCTGAAGCTCTGAATCTAGCAATTATCCAAGGACTGATAAGGTCTGATCTTGCAATTAACCCTTGGAAGGATTATTGCCTGGATTTTTCTGTGTGTGAATGCCATACATTCACAGTAACTAAATAAAGAGGGGTTTTCGGGACAAGGAATCTGTTTCTTGGTTCTGCTAAGGCTGGGTCAGAACACCAGGCTTAAGGTTGACTCAGCCTTCCGTCCTTCCGAGGTGGGTAAAATGTGGGCCCAGATTGTTGAGGGCAATAGGCTGACTCTGTGAACCGCTTAGAGAGGGCTGTAAAAGCACTATGAGGCGCTATATAAGTCTAAGTGCTATTGCTATTGCTAAAGGCAGGAAGGGGAGAAGTGCTTTCAGACCTACAAGATTCCATCACTGTAACTTTACGGTAAGGAGAGGTGACCTTAGACAAGGAAATAGAAGTTCAGAGCCCATTTACTCTTCTTCCCTCTTTTGCTTCTACTGGTCAATATGTTTACACTGCAGAAACCTCATTTGTGCAAGTTGAATCTCAGCTGATTATTCTGCAGATCTAACTAGAGGGTTAAGATGCCATGATTTGTCAAGGAGAATTATGTCTGGTTTGGTTCTGCAACCCAACAAGACAGGCACAGACTTCAGAGAATAATTAGGACTGCAGAAAAAACAATTGCTACCAACCTGCCTTCCACTGAGGACCTGTATACTACATGAGTCAAAAAGCGGGCTGTGAAAATATCTACAGACCCCTTACATCCCGGACATAAACTGTTTCAACTTCTACCTCCAAAACGACACTATAGAGCACTGCACACCAGAACAACTAGACACAAGGAAAGATTTTTCCCCAAACACCATCACTCTGCTAAACAAATATTTCCCTCAATACTGTCAAACTATTTACAAAGTCTGAATTACTATCACTATTAATCTTCTTATCACTCCTTATCACCCATCCCCTCCCACTTGTGACTGTATGACTGTAATTTTGTTGCTTATATCCTAATGATTTTTATTGACTGTTTCCTAGTATGATTTAATTGCTTATTGTACCCTATGACTATCATTAAGTGTTGTACCTTATGATTCTTGACGAATGTATCTTTTCTTTTATGTACACTGAGAGCATTTGCACCAAGACAAATTCCTTGTGTGTCCAATCGTATATGGCCAGTAAAGAATTCTATTCTATTCTATTCTATTCTATTCTATTCTATTCTATTCTATTCTATTCTATTCTATTCTATTCTATCCTATCCTATCCTATCCTATTCTATTCTATTCAGATGTTTAAGTGGAAAAGATAAAGGGTAGGAGAAACAAGGGCTGGGCTGGTGTTTAATCAATTCATTTAAGAATATTTTCTAAAGCAGTGGTCCCAAATCCTTGGTCCATGGACCAGCACTGGGCTGCTGCATATCAGCAACTGGGCTGCACAAACAAGCAAGGCCTTGTCCACTGGCCGCAGGCAGCATGCAAAACCACCCTGCTTCCAGTCCACAGAAAAACCTTTCTCCACGGAACCAGTCCCTGGTGCCCCAAAAGATTGGGAGCCACTGTGCTAAAGCTAAAATAGACAACATGGCAACGGTGAGATTCAAATTATTTACTACTGGTTCTGTGGACATGGCTTGGTGGTTGTGGTGTGGCGTGACTTGGTGGGCGTGGCATGGCATGGCTTGGTGGGCATGGCAGGGTAAGGATACTGTAAAATCCTCATTTCCTCCCCACTCCTGGGGGAAGGTTACTGCCAAATCCCATTCCCTCCCCACCCCACTAACCTGCTTTCCAGCTCTGTTCTCCTATACAGAGCAACAAAAGAAGACCTAGCCTATCAGCTGGGACTCGAGAGGCAGACAATAGATGGGGACGGGCCCAATCAGAGATGGAATTCCAAACTACTCAAAATTTCCACTAGCGGTTCTCTAGAACTGGTCAGAACCTGCTGAATACCACCTCTGCAACCTGGGATGTCACTAGAGTTGGCAGAAGTAACCCTTTTCTTAAATTGTGGCATGTTATAGGTGCATTAAGGTTCCCAGAGGTTTAATACATCTGTTTTAAGTTTTTTTTAAAGGGAGAAGGAGGGAAATGAACTATTGAAAATTGCCACATTGCTGCTGAATTTGACAGTGCTATCTTAAGGAGCTCTAAGAATGTCAAAAATGAATTGGGGGCCTCATGAAGGCTCTCAGCTGCCCATGACATCTTAGAATAAGAAGGTAATCATACTGAAACTGACCCATAATCCCATAACAGAACAATAATTCTGCAGTTATGGGACGGGGCCATAAAACCCCATTGCAAGCAGACTTTGGTAATCCTTTTCTTCTTTGCTTGGATTGTCCCTTAATATGTGTATATTTCTTTTCCCCTGTTCTTCTAGGGGAGTGGTTTCCAAATATTCTAAATGAGGGTAAATTTGAGAGGTTTTTCTTCTTCTTGGCCTCATTAATGATTGTGAACAGTTTGGGCTTCTGGACCATTTCACACAAGTAAGTCCTTTTAACTTTTCAGCTCTTGTTATCTTAAATCTTTTGTAGAACAAGTCTGTCGGTAAATTGAAGAAATATCCTCCTAAGGGCTACTTCAAATGGTTCCTGTATAGAGAAAAGCCAGTAAATCTGACCTTGATATTAGAGATAGCTCTCAATTTATGACCATAATTGATCCCAAAATTTATCTTGATAAGTGAGACAGTTGTTAATGGAGCTTTGCCCCATTTTACAACCTTTCCTGCCACAGTTGTTAAGTGATTCACTGCAGTTGTTAAGTTAGTAACTCAGTTGTTAAGTGAATCTGACTTCCCCCTTGATTTTGCTTGTCAGAAGATTACAAAAGATGATCACATGACCCCGGGACACTAAAACCATCCTAAAGAGGAACCAGTTGTCAAGCATCCACATTTTGATCATGTGACCCCTCTGGGGATGCTGCAATGGTTGTAAGTGTGAAAACTGGTCATGAGTCACTTTTTTCAGTGCCGTTGTAATTTTGAACATTCACTAAATGAATGGTTGTAAGGCAAGGACTGCCTATGTATGAAATGGAGTGGAGTGGAGTTGAATAAGGAAGAGAAGAGAAGAGAAGAGAAGAGAAGAGAAGAGAAGAGAAGAGAAGAGAAGAGAAGAGAAGAGAAGAAGCGTAGAGTGGAATAGAGTGAAATAGAATAGAATAAGGAATAATATAAGGGAAGAGAAATAGGGGGAAAAATTAATTACAGAAAGCTTATAAGTGTTCCCAAGGAAGTATGATATTTAATTAAAAAGAAATGTTAAAGATGTTAAGACTTCAATGAATATTAATGATAGAACTGAATTGGAATGGAATTGGAATGGTTTTAATTACATATATTTATAATCACTTTTTAAGAATATAGTGTGTATTTTAAGAATGTACCAAGCAGAATTCGATTGGAAGTTATGTATTATATTGAATGTTATAACCTCAAGGTATATATTGAAGCTTAAATAAGAGTTGAATGGATAAAATTAAAAGATATAAAGGTGTCATACTCCAATTAGTAACTACAGGAGAAAATTTGTTTAATGAGAAAAGAAAATATGAAATTGAAACAGGACAGACAAAAGTATAAATATAATGATTTGAACTGAGATGAGATAATTAAAATAAAATTGAGAAAATTAAGAGAGGAGAAAAACTATGTAGAAATTGTAAAACAGTAATAAGATATGGAATAGAACATAAAAGTGAGCATGAAATTGAGTTTGTGTCTGTATGAAGAACTGTAACCCAGGACCATGCTATTTTCAAAAAAAGATGTTTTATTTGTATTATGTTTTTTTTTGTGAAAACCCAAATAAAATTTTCAAACAAAAAAAGGATTGAATAAGGAATAAGAGTAGAGTGGAATAGAATAGAATAAGGAATAACAATAGAATAAGGAATAAGGAAATAGAATGGGATAGGATAGGATAGGATAGGATAGGATAGGATAGGATAGGATAGAACACAATCAGTGTTGGAAGGGATCCTGGAGATCACCTAGTTCAACCCCCTTCTTGAACAGGAGACCCTATACCCGTGATGGTGAACCTATGGCGCATGTGCACAGGTACACAGAGCCATTTGTGCAGGCATGTGAGCCCTAGACAAACTTACCTCGCTGTGCATGCATGCACTGCACAGCTGATTTTTGGCCCATTTGAGGCCTTTTTCGGCCTCCCAGAGGCTTGAGGAAAGCCTCTGCAGCCTTTGCAAGCTGAAAAATAAGCCCATTTCATCACTTCCTATATTTCCAGAAATACCGGAAGTGATGATATTGGCCCACTTTTCGGCCTGCAAAGGCTGCAAAGGCTTCCCTCAAGCCTCTGGGAAGCCAAAAAAGGCCTCAAATGGGCCAAAAATCAGCTGGGAGGTGCAGCGCAGGTAAGGAGGCGGGGGGGGATTGCGTGCGCATGTGCAGGAAACATTGCCTTCTGGATACTGACATGCAGGAGCCCAAAAAGGTTAGCCACCACTGCTCTATACCATTTCAGACAAATAACTGTCCAGTTTCTTCTTGAACGCTTGCAGTGTTGGGGCATCCACAAGGAAGCCATTCCATTGGTTGATTGTTCTCACTGTTAGGAAGTTTCTCCTTCATTCTAGCTTGCTTCTCTCCTTGATTAGTTCCCATCCATTTTCTTCAGCCATAGACAACCTCATCTCATTCGGGGTGACTAGTCTATCTCTCTTGCCTGGGAGTGGTTTCTGTCTATAAAATGTTCTTCCATCCTTTAGAAACTGCTGAATCCGATGGTGTGGGCTCCATTGCTTAGCGTTTTGAAGTGGAACTTTCCCAAACCAGCGTGGTTCTATCAGAAATGATGCTTACATTTGAAGAGCATACAGTTGTCCAGGCTGGAGGTTGATCAGTGACTCCACCTCCCACTCTTCAACTTTCTTTTGACAGACAACTTTATCCTTCCACACGAATAATCTGTCCAGATGTTTCTGACAGCCAGGATGAACTCTTGTTTTGATTTAGCAATTCTCCCTTTCTCTCTGATTTTTTTCTTTCTTATATCAGACTTTGAAGACATTAAGCATATCCCTATGTTTTATAGCGCTGCAAAAGAGGTTTAATTTATTTTTGCTTTGCAGATATAATAATCTTCAGGAAGACTATGATGAAGGATTCAGAGGAAGCCTTCTTCAGGAGCAGCTTTTACAGCATGAGAAATCACTTAAATTTTATGATAGCATCCTGGTTTGCCCCTCTCCTTTATCCCGGATGGAAACTCTCCTGTGAACTTACGCTCTGAAAACAACCGGCTGAGAACTTGGTCTACTCTGTCTTCAGACTATCGCCTATCAGATTTTAATGATGTCTTTCTTTCTTTGTTTATGGGTTGACTTAGCAATAGTGGGTCGTAGTTTGTCTTTTTCATGTCTGCTTCTCTCTCTGAAAATTAATTCTATAAGTTCAGGACTTAACACCTGAACGATTCTAAATCCATACATCTCATTCCTTTTCCTATCACTGAGAGCTTCCTGGGTGACAAAGCCTTTTAATGAGGCACCTTGATGTTTTCTAATGTCATGCTCCATATGTAGTACGGCTACCAGATCTGGTCTGTAAAAGTCCTGATGTTGGCATCACAGCATTACAGATTTCTTGTTTCTCTTTGCTGCTGTGGTAGTAGTCATCCAGATTTTGGCAGGCTGTACTAGATAGTCCTGTATGTGGAGCATGGTTGGTGAACTATGGCCCTTTTATGATCTGTGGACTTCAACTCCCAGAATTCCTGAGCCAGACTCAGGAATTCTGGGAGTTGAAGTCCACAAGTCATAGAGGGGCCATAATTCTTCACCTCTGAAGTAGAGATATACCCATCTCCAAAGGAACAGCTGTATAGAGGGAGTTATATGAAATGTTACTAGCTCCAAAGTCGAATGATGAGTTCATTCTAAAATGACTTTGGAGCTAAAGTCAGAAAACTTATCTTTCACTGTACAACTTTCCCTTTGAAAGACTATTTTTTGAGGACAGATATAGCACTTAATGAAGGGAGAAAACAGCCACTTCTGAATTCCTTGAGCAGAAGATTCTTATTCCCTTTGAATATATTCCATCAGCCTGGAATATATCAATAGCTCAGTCCATCTCACAGTGACAAAGGCAAAAAAAAGATGTATATCCAGCCAATGTTCAAGTGAATAAGTGTGTAACTAATACACTAAAATTCTCATGAGTTATTTACAAGAACCAAGTCCAGCTTATGCATTAAAAACTTCGAAAGATCTTTTCTAAAGATCAACAGTGTTGCTTTGGATGGCACTCTGAGAAAATCGTCAGGATCCTGAGGTTTCTAATCCAGCCACTACCTACAGCTTTTATGCTTCTACTGAACTTTGGGGTCTACCCTTATTGTTAATACCTTGGCTTTGATTCCTGGGCTGACGTTAAACTCTGCCTGCTACTACATTCTCTGTTCAAGCTCTATGAATTAACCTTACACCGCTTACTGATTCGGCTGCTAGTGATTGAACACCTGCATATTTGCAAGAGTTCCCAACTCACCTGGCAGCCATCTGCTGGATAAAAACCAAGAAAAGTGACTCTGAACAATGGCTGCCAGCAGTGCGCAGCAACAAGTGTGGAATAATGTATGGATCAATTTAGCTTGAAACTCCAAGTTTAGCACTTAGCCATTATTTTGTTTGCTGACGACAAGTTTAGCAATAATGCAAGGAGAATATATTTGTACTAGCAAAACAGCAGGAAGGAGTAAGGCTACTAGGTCTGGGCTGTAAACCTTTTCCCTTTTAATAAATTGTGATGAGGACATGAATGCTACCATCAACAATATACTGTGAACAATCCTTGTTTGTCACGTACGCTTGATTTGTGTGTTTGCCGGTTTTTTTCATGGTGTTGGAAGAAATGTCCATCTGGGTTCAGTTCCAAGTGGGAAGGAACATACTGGAAACATGGAGGCTGCTTGGAAAGATGGTTTAATGGTGAAACAGAACCACCAGGCATGTGCGACTCTGAGTAGATGACCACATGGAGTGGAGAGTGAGCTATATTTATACCAGGAGTGGGATTCAAAAATCCCAGCAACCGGTTCGCTGCCCGGTTGCTGGATGGGCGTGGCCATGGTGGGCGTGGCCTACCAGAACTTCCAGGAGGGCAGTTTTTCACTTTTCCAAGGATCCAGAGGCTTCCCTTGGGCCTCTGGAAGGGCAAAAATGCCCCCCCCCGGCTCTGGAGGCCCTCCAGAAGCTGGAAACAGGCCCATTTTGTAACTTCCAGTACTTCCAGTAGGGCCATTATTCCCCGTCTCAGAGCCTTCGTGCAGTTACTTGCACTTACTTGCATCAAAACAATACACGTGGAGACTCCTGGGAGGGGAGTGGCAGGGTGGGTGGGGCCAGCCGGTTGGTTCAAATACTGGTTTGGTGAACCAGATGCAAATTTAACATACGATTCACCCAAACTGGTCCAAATCAGTAGAATCCCACCCCTGATTTATACTCTTTTGGGCCTTGCAAGAAATGTATCCAGGGTGGGATTCCAATTTTTAACAACCGGTTCTGCAGGCATAGCTTAGGTGGTGGGTATGGCTTGGTGGTCATGTGACTGGGTGGACATGGCTTGGTGGTCATGTTATTGGCTGGGTGTGGCCAACTCAATATCACTCACATTGAGGCACGCATCTCCTCGCCTGGCCTCTCATGACTGTGGGGATGCTGCAACAGTTGTAAGTGTGAAAAACGGTCATAAGTCACTTTTTTCACTGCCATTGTAACTTTGAATGGCCACTCCACACAAGCAAAGTACCAGCAAAGGAGGGGAAAAAAAACTCCAGAGATGTTCCTCAGACAGGAAGTCTAGTCCTGCCAAGAATGTAATAAGGGTTAACGGATAGGCAGTTTCTGTAAGCAACACCAGAATGTTTCCTTCCTGCCTTCCTTACAGGATTAGGCCAGTAATTTCTTCTAACAACCAGTTCTCCAAACTGCTTAGAATGTTAACAACCAGTTCTAGCAAATAGGCACGAACTGGTAGAATCCCACCCCTGAATGTATCCTATTGTTTGTCAGACACTCAGGCGGCTATGTGGGGGTCCAGCTGACTTTGTAATCTAGCTGTGTCCCAGGCTTGGTTGAATCTTGCTGAGTGATGATGTAATGAAAAGGGTTGTGTTCTGAAAGGGTGTTGGGCAATTCGTATTGTGTCTTAATGCCCTTGTCCTGGTTTGGATCTTGAATGAAGGCTAATCCTATCACCTGGAGCTGAAGGCCTTTTGTCTTGTAGATAGGATGGCCAGTCTTTCTGGGGCTATTAACAAAGGTGGGGGCTGATTTCCAAGAGCATATTTCTCCTTATCTCATCCAGGGAGGTGTAATATTCCTCCTTTTCAATATTTCCTAGAATATTTCATTCTTCTAGGAGAGGAGTGGGTGCTAACTTTGTACAATGGTTAACTGAAGTTCTGATAGCTTTCAACAAAGTTACTTCTGATAAAATTGAAGGTGTGAGAACTGGATAGCTTCTATTCTCTTCTTTCCCTTTTTTATACCTTTTAACCATATACTTTGCAAGTGCACTCTAATAACAATGGATTTGGAAGTGATCTCGAGATCTACTGTTATATTTTTCTTTGATTGGGTAAAGAAAGAAAATAGTGCAAATCCAACCTAAACATGGGGAACACTTGATTACTGACTACTACATGTACCATCAAGTCAGTGTTGTCTCTTAAGGAGTCCATAGATAGATGTTCTCCAGGATGATCTGTTTCCAAAATTGTTGGCTTTTCAGGATTTTCAGAGGTGCATCCCACACTGCTGTACAGGTAGTCCTTGACTTACAACCACAACTGAGCCCCAAATTTTTGTTGCTAAGTAAGGCAGTTGTTAAGTGTTTTTTGCCCCATTTCTTGCCATGGTTGTTGAGCTGATGCAGCTGTTAAGCTAGTAACACGGTTCTTAATTGGATTTGGTTTCCCCATTGCCTTTGCTTGTTTGAAGATTGCAAAAGATGATCACATGACCCTGGGACACTGCAACTGTCATAAGTATGAGTCAGTTGCCAAGTGTCCAAATTTTGATCATAAGTGTGAAAAACAGTGATGAGACACTTTTTTTAATGCCGTAATTTTCAACAGTCACTAAGTCAAAGCACTACCTATGAATAGAGTAGGATAGGGATAGAGTAGAGTAAAGTAGAATATAAACAGAAATAGAAAAGAGTTGGAAGAAACCTTGGAGGTCTTCTAGTCCAACCCCCTGCTTAGGCAGGAAACCCTACACCACTTCAGACAAATGATTATCCAATGTCTTCTTAAAAACTTCCAGTGTTGGAGCATTCACAACTTCTGGAGGCAAGTTGTTCCACTGGTTAATTGTTCTCACCGTCAGGAAATTTCTTCTTTGTTCTAGGTTGCTTCTCTCCTTGATTAGTTTTCAGCCATTGCTTCTTGTTCTGCCTTCAGGTGCTTTGGAGAATAGCTTGACTCCCTCTTCTTTGTGGCAGCCCTTTAGATATTGGAAGACTGCTATCATGTCACCCCTAGTCCTTTTTTTCACCAATTAATTCATTAATTGCCCATGTCTGGATTAGATTGATTAGACCAGAGGTGTCCAACCTTGGCAGCTTAACAAGCTGTGGATTTCAATTCCCTAGTCAGCTATGCTGGCTGGTGAATTCTGGGAGTTGAAGTCCACAAGTTTTAAAAGTTGCCAAAGTTGGACATTCATGGATTAGACCATATTTAGATCAAATCTGATGGCTTAGCTCGTCCCTCTGAGTCTACAGCAGCAAAGTCAACATCCTTTCACAACTAGGCTCTGAATGAGTTAAACATACCAAAAGGTAGATGTAAGCCAGGTGACTTCATTTTAAGGTTTTTCAAACGTGAATAATTTCAGGACTACAAGGCAAGACAAAACACGTGGGGCATTGTTTCAGGTAGACAAGGGAGGAAGGGGGAGAGAAGCAGGCGAGGGAGTTCAGTACAGGGATTAAGCTGTCCATCTGTTCAGTTTGCACTGGCGATGAAGCACAGGCTCTCCATTGCAACGAGATCTGTTAAAAGAGCATTTTTCATTTCCACTGCCTAGCAACAAAGTTATTCAGCACCTGCAATAGTTTAAACATTAAGCATAATTGGCTTTGCTTGACATAAATCTGCAGGTTTGTAAATAAGAACAGGATAGTCCTATCATCATACCAATTAGCTGAAAGGAATGCTTGCTTTACAGATGCCTGCTGCTTTTGGAGAAGAGAGATGGAGCACTCTC